ACGAGACAATTGCATGACATTTTCTCTAAATAATTTTTACGTTGCTTGTGCTGTGTTATTATGCTTGGCTTAGGTAATAATTCTGTTGCTGGACTGGTAATTCTAGTTCTTACTGCTGTTGTTTGCTTTGCCGTCGGTCGGTTCTGTTGCTTGTTCAAGATAGGTGGCACTGATTTATGATGCTGGATAAGTTTATCCTGTATTGGCATAGTGGGTATGCATATCATAGTGTTTTGTAATGACATCGTTTCTGGGGACTCCACTATGATGCACCTGCCCATAGTTTCTTCTCGTATACGGTTTCGATTTACTTTATGTTGTTCTCTGCGAAGCTCTTCGAAGTCATCAGCAAGTATTTTTAATTCCTCTAAGCTTGAAAAATCTCGACGTCTGATAAAGATTCGGTAGTCTGCGCTCATGTTTTGATATATTCGCTCTAATTGCGTATCTGGATTTGTGCAGGGTCGTCGCATAAGATTTTTGATGTCAATTAAATATGTTTTGAAATTCTCATTGGGTTTTTGATGGCGGGATATTACATCATGCTGTAGGTTTTCTAAATATCTAGCAGAAATGAAAAATGATAAGAAATCGTACTTGAAACGTGTCCAAAGTGACCAACGACAATTGTTATTGCGAAACCATTCTAGTGCTTCGCCTTCGAGGAGTAGAGGCATTGTTCGAGGAATTAGATTTACATCGATGATGTACATGTCTGCCAGTTGCTCTATGTGTTCGATGAAATCTAATGTGTCCTTGCCACCGTGATATCTGAAGGACCATTTCTCTACGTATTCAATTGTCTGACGATAGGAGCACATTGGAGGATTTATTGAACTTTTGTCAGTCCCTGGTATTCCTCTTGATCCCACCGACATTGTTTCCTTTTACGATTTATGTTGCTATTTTATATCATCTAGTTTTTAGATTTTCTTTGCTTGACTACTATATTTCCATTACTATTTCAACGGCCTTTGAATATTTTGGTCCCTGCTTGGGCGCCAACTGTAACGACACTTTCCCTAGGGTCGTTGCTTATTTGCTGAGGTATGCTCAGTCTCTCCAGGATCGTTACAATAAATTTTATAGATAACTAAAATATTCAGAGACACGCTTATGTTTTCTATATTTTATTGTTTAGTTGAATAAAATTTTAAAATTAACAAATATTGGTAAAGTTCAGCTTAATATTATTAGCAACTGCTTAAATTTTCCAAAGGACCTGTATTGATTTGAATATACCAGGATGCTCTGTAGTGTTTCCAGGAGTTATTTGGATGTTGTGATTCACTTTGATAGTTTAGAGTTTTCTAAGGGGTAAAAATATGGTTAGTATCGATAATTCTTGATATAGAATTATCCTTCGTTTATATATTCCGTGAAATTATATTATTTACGATAGACGTAATTCGACCACTTGAAATAATATAATTCGACTTTGTATAATAATTCTTGATGTAGAATTATGGAGATAAATTGATTTAGCTTTGTGTTAATAATTCCTGATGTAGAATTATCCTTTGTATAAATATTCTGTGAAATTATATTATTTACGATAGACGTAATTTGACCACTTGAAATAATATAATTCGACTTGGTATAATAATTCTTGATGTAGAATTATGGAGATAAATTGATTTAGCTTTGTGTTAATAATTCCTGATGTGGAATTATCCTTTGTATAAATATTCTGTAAAATTATATTATTTACGATAGACGTAATTCGAACACTTGAAATAATATAATTCGACTTTGTGTAATAATTCTTGATGTAGAATTATGGAGATAAATTGACTTAGCTTTGTGTTAATAATTCCTGATGTGGAATTATCCTTTGTATAAATATTCTGTGAAATTATATTATTTACGATAGACGTAATTCGACCACTTGAAATAATATAATTCGACTTTGTATTTATTTATTTTATTTATTTATTTATTTATTTAAATGCATTAAGGGACAACCCTTTTTATTGCAGTATCTAAAAGCTAATTTAAAGAATTAAAATAAAAATAAAAAATACAATAAAATAAAAAAAAAAAGTAATTAAAGTTTTCAGAGAATATAGTAATAACATATGTAAAAAGTATTAAAATTATAGTTACTGATTAACAGCGAAACAAAAAAGAAAACAGCATGAAATATTTAAATAACAGAATTTAAGTTAATAACAAACAAATTACAATAAACTTAAAAAAAAAAAAATAAATAAAGACAAATAAACGTGATGTTAACACAGTTCGTTTTTTAACAGTTTCTTAAAAACACTCGGGTTATCTGCATTTCTGGTTGTGCTTGAAAGAGCATTCCATATTCTAACAGACTGAATAGAGAAAAACTTAGTAGTGGAGGCAAAACTAAATCTGGGAATGATGAAAAGACGAGATCTGTTAGATCTAGTTAGCTGCAAGAAATCAAAAAGATACTTCGGCGTAGTAGTGGATAAAAGTCTGAACAAAAATAAGCATACTCGAAACTGCATATATTGTTCAATATCACACCCTAGAATCACATTTCTATAAATACCTAAGTGATCAAAGCGTCTAAGACCAAAAGCATATCGCGTGCAGCAGTTTACTAAGCTTCGTAACTTATTGAGGGATTCAACATCAAGTTTTGAGTACACTAAAGAGGAGTACATAACAATAGGAATAATTAGTTGTTTTACCAACAAAACACGCATGTCAACCGGTGTATACTTCACAGAAAGGTTCAGACCTCTTAAACATGCAAAAGATTTTCTAATAACTTGGTTAACATGTTCGCCAGCATGCAGATTAGTGTTCAAATGAATAACCCAGACATTTTGCCAAATTAGTATATTTAATAATTGAGTTGCCAAGTGTTACAGATGGCAAGAAATCAACATTAATATTTAGTCTAGCAATTGGTAGAATAGAAGACTTGTTTATATTAAGGAACATATTATTTTGCTTAGCCCATACCACTATATATGATAAATCTGCAGTAGTCATTTGCACGAGGTCATTAATATCAGAAATCCGACAAGATAGATGCATTAGAATATCATCTGCATACTTACATATTGAAAAAATATCATCAATATAAATTGAAAATAAAAGAGTTCCTAGTACAGAGCCTTGAGGTACCCCAGTAAATAAAGGTTTGAAATTAGAAAAAGCATTCTCTACGAGTACAGTCTGTTCCCTTCCAGTTAAGTAGCTATAAATAAATTCTGAGGCCGACCTAGAAAAATAAAAGGAATGAAAAAGCTTTTTACATAATAGAGAATGGTCAACACAGTCAAAAGCTTTAGTAAAGTCAAGGAGACATAAAAATGTTACTAAGTTTTGATCATAGCTACATCGAATATCTTCGAGGACCTTGAGCATTGCCGTCGTGCAACTATGACCTTTTTTAAACCCAGACTGGAGAGGAGAGAGAAGTTTAAAGCAGTTAAGATGAGTACGTATTTGATCAGCCATAATGTTCTCACACACTTTAGAGAGTGAAGGGAGAATACTGATTGGGCGATAATCGGAACATGAGGATGCATTAGCCTTTTTTTCAATTGGAATAATCTTGGCTTTTTTCCAAACAGTAGGAAAACATGATGTAGTGAAACAGTGGTTAATAATGTGCGTCAAAGGAGTAATAATAAACGGCAGTATAAGTTTAATAAATTTATGCGGAATTTCATCTATTCCAATAGCGTTTGACTTAATTTTCATGACATTATTAAAGACAGTTTCTTCACTAACACATATAAAGTCAAAACTGCGTTCGGAGGGAACACTCTCAAGTTCAGGGAAGACCGGAGCAACGTTCAATCTATCTCCTATAGGAACAAAGAAATCATTTAAAATGTTAGGATCAATGCTACATACATTTCTTGAGCTATTAACCACCCCTAGAGCTTTGATGTTACTCCAAAGTGATTTTGTAGGTAATGAGGTATCTAGTTTAGATTTAATGAACCTAGATTTAGCAAGATAAATAGCCATTCGATTCAAATTTCGAGCTGCTTTAAACCGCGTCCAGTTAAAAACATTCGGATATCTTTTCCACACTGCATACTTCCTATTTCTCTTGTTTATCATACGTTTGATGTCAGTACTGAACCATGGACATGAAGAATTCTTAACATGTATAGTACGATACGGAATATACTGATGCAAATAATTAATAATTATATTGTTTAAGACTGTCAATTTGTCATCAACTGAAGCACCAAACCAGCAATTACTCCAGTCAACAGTGCTAAGATCACTACATAATAACTGAGTATTAGCTGATTTAAAATCCCAGAAAGAAAATTGAGAGGGATTGACATTTCTCGTTACACAGTAATCTAAGGTAGTAAATAATAAATCATGATCGGAAACAAACGAAATCTGATCAAATTACAACACTTTGGTCAGATCAGACACGATCATTAAGTCGAGGAGACTTGGGCGTACATTATTACTATATCTAGTAGGCACGGTATTATTTACAATGCTTAGACCAACCAAAGCTATAAGGTCATTCAGTGCAGACACTTTAGCATTGCTCAAAAGAATATCAATATTAAAATCGCCAAATATGGCAATAAAATCAAAATTGACAGCAATAGGAAGGAGGGCTTCAAAAAGAGGACCACTACAGTACCTTTTGCTGGGGTTATAAGCACAAGAAACAAGAATTTTATGACTACCTAAATAAATACATACACATAAAAATTCAATTTCACTTTCTTCCGATATACAGATCAATTGACTTCTTAAATATGATTTACAATAAATAGCAACGCCGCCACCCAATTTATGTTTCCTATCATGTCTAAATAAAACAAAGTCGTTTATAGATAGGTATGAACTATCAAGATGGAAGTCAAACCAAGTCTCAGAAATGCAGATAACATCTACTTTGCTGTCTTCGAAAACAGCTCTTACATGATCTAATTTTAAGCCAGAAAGACTTCTCGCATTAAAATGAACTATATTAATACCACGTTGTTGTTTACAAAAAATATTAATTAAAGTTTTATCTTCCATGATTAATAATTAGTATTTTCTGCTTCTAGTTTAACTCTCCGCTGTAACGTCTTACACATAATATCTCTGCAATCATGATCCGTGCTCAGCTCACGAAGGTTAAGAGTTTTTTTTGCCTTAACACAATTAACACATTTAATAAAAACATTTTTGCACTCCTTATGAGTATGCCCAGTCTCACTACATTTAGCACATACATTGTCAATTTCTTTGCAGACACTTGCTTTATGATTAAAGCCCCAGCATTTATAACATCTCATAACATTTAAATGCTTATAAACGATGCACCTATCCCATCTGATATTAATTCTACGATCTTTCATAATTTGTTTGAAAGCTTTACCGTCTAATTCAATTATGGCGTTAAATGTATTCTTTTTTTTATAAGATTCGTATACTTTTAAAACTTTTAGGTGTTGGAGCGAGATACTATTTTGATTTTTTATTGCGAGAAGTAAACTGTCGCCATCTAACTGTTCACTCATTCCTGAGATAAACACTTTGGGATTACGCAATGTAGGAGTTTCAATGACGTATTGATCACTTAGTTTTTTCTTAATATCATTAGCAAATACTTCACGTTCTTTAGAGTTAATGCACTTAATAGTTACTCTGCCATCATGCCTAGTCTGAAATCCGTTCACTTTAACATTTAGCTGAGTTGGGCTAATTTTATTCTTTAAGTCTTTTTTTGTCTCTTCACTCTGTTGTTTATTAATGGGTTTCACAGTAATTGGTACATTAGCATTGATACCCATTTTTAGCTTAGCAGCAAAAGTATCTTTATTTTCAATCATGTTTATATTCTTAGATGTATTAATAGCTAGTTCATCATTCGGTTTTTTAATAACATCAGATAACAATGTAATTTTTTGCTCAAGCCCATTAAATTTGTTTTCATATGATTTTTGGACCTCAACAAGTGATTTAATCCTATCAGCATATTTTGCCTCTATAGCTTTTAATAAACATTTAATTTCATTTTCGTTAACGTTTAAGGCTTTTTTAAAATCATTTTTATATTCATTAAGACAATTATTATTTTTGGTCACACTATCATTAATTTCTCTAAGAGAAAAGTCAACATTGTGTATATATTGTAAGCAATCATCACAAATAAAATGAATCATTTTATTATTAAGGCTATTAATATGTGATTGCTCCACACCAGAACATTTAGTTGCAATGTGATATGCTTTACCACATACACCTTCACAAACTAAACCAGACTCTCCACGTATAGTAGAACGACACTTATTGCACTCTTTCATTATAAATCAAAAAGTATTTATTATTCTTAATCAAATATAATATTACTTATTATTATAGTTATTTATAAATTTTGGAAACATTTATCAACACTAGTTCGCGCGCTTTTTAGTTCGCGCCTTATAGTAATTATTGCTGTCTCTATCAGCTGATTTTAAATCAAAACAAAACAATTGCAATTATTATTTTGCAAAAAAAAAACAAAAGATTTAGTGTATTTGATTCAAATTAATCAATTTAAAATGTATAAAAACACAAGAAATCACACCCGTTGGTGTAACTTTCCACCATTATCGGCAAGTATTTGAATTGTAAAAAATTTTGAGCACAACAGTTGATATAATAAACTTTTAATACAGATTTAAAAAGGAAAAAAAGCAGAGCGCCGCCACAATACGTCATAACACGCAAGTTTGTATAATAATTCTTGATGTAGAATTATGGAGATAAATCGATTTAGCTTTGTGTTAATAATTCCTGATGTGGAATTATCCTTTGTATAAATATTCTGTGAAATTATATTATTTACGATAGACGTAATTCAACCACTTGAAATAATATAATTCGACTTTGTATAATAATTCTTGATGTAGAATTATGGAGATAAATTGATTTAGCTTTGTGTTAATAATTCCTGACGTGGAATTATCCTTTGTATAAATATTCTGTAAAATTATATTATTTAAGACGTAATTCGACCACTTGAAATAATATAATTCGACTTTGTGTATTAATTCTTGATATAGAATTATTGACATAAATTGATTTAGCTTTGTGTTAATAATTCCTGATGTGGAATTATTCTTTGCATAAATATTCTGTAAAATTATATTATTTACGATAGACGTAATTCGACCACTTGAAATAATATAATTCAACTTTGTATAATAATTCTTGATGTAGAATTACTGAAATAAATTGCTTTAGCTTTGTGTTAATAATTCCTGATGTGGAATTATCCTTTGCATAAATATTCTGTAAAATTATATTATTTACGATAGACGTAATTCGACCACTTGAAATAATATAATTCAACTTTGTATAATAATTCTTGATGTAGAATTACTGAAATAAATTGCTTTAGCTTTATGTTAATAATTCCTGATGTGGAATTATCGTTTGTATAAATATTCTGTAAAATTATATTATTTACGATAGACGTAATTCGACCACTTGAAATAATATAATTCGACTTTGTATAATAATTCTTGATGTAGAATTACTGAAATAAATTGCTTTAGCTTTGTGTTAATAATTCCTGATGTGGAATTATCCTTTGCATAAATATTCTGTAAAATTATATTATTTACGATAGACGTAATTCGACCACTTGAAATAATATAATTCAACTTTGTATAATAATTCTTGATGTAGAATTACTGAAATAAATTGCTTTAGCTTTATGTTAATAATTCCTGATGTGGAATTATCGTTTGTATAAATATTCTGTAAAATTATATTATTTACGATAGACGTAATTCGACCACTTGAAATAATATAATTCGACTTTGTATAATAATTCTTGATGTAGAATTACTGAAATAAATTGATTTAGCTTTGTGTTAATAATTCCTGATGTGGAATTATCCTGTATAAATATTCTAAATTATTATTATTACGATAGACATAATTCGACCACTTGAAATTATAATTCGACTTGTATAATAATTCTTGATGTTAAGAATTATGGAGGTTAAATTGATTTAGCTTTGGGTTAATAATTTCCTGCGTTGGAATTATCCTTTGTTTATATATTCCGTGAAATTATATTATTTACGATAGACGTAATTCGACCACTTGAAATAATATAATTCGACTTTGTGTATTAATTCTTGATATAGAATTATTGACATAAATTGATTTAGCTTTGTGTTAATAATTCCTGATGTGGAATTATTCTTTGCATAAATATTCTGTAAAATTATATTATTTACGATAGACGTAATTCGACCACTTGAAATAATATAATTCAACTTTGTATAATAATTCTTGATGTAGAATTACTGAAATAAATTGCTTTAGCTTTGTGTTAATAATTCCTGATGTGGAATTATCCTTTGCATAAATATTCTGTAAAATTATATTATTTACGATAGACGTAATTCGACCACTTGAAATAATATAATTCAACTTTGTATAATAATTCTTGATGTAGAATTACTGAAATAAATTGCTTTAGCTTTATGTTAATAATTCCTGATGTGGAATTATCGTTTGTATAAATATTCTGTAAAATTATATTATTTACGATAGACGTAATTCGACCACTTGAAATAATATAATTCGACTTTGTATAATAATTCTTGATGTAGAATTACTGAAATAAATTGCTTTAGCTTTGTGTTAATAATTCCTGATGTGGAATTATCCTTTGCATAAATATTCTGTAAAATTATATTATTTACGATAGACGTAATTCGACCACTTGAAATAATATAATTCAACTTTGTATAATAATTCTTGATGTAGAATTACTGAAATAAATTGCTTTAGCTTTATGTTAATAATTCCTGATGTGGAATTATCGTTTGTATAAATATTCTGTAAAATTATATTATTTACGATAGACGTAATTCGACCACTTGAAATAATATAATTCGACTTTGTATAATAATTCTTGATGTAGAATTACTGAAATAAATTGATTTAGCTTTGTGTTAATAATTCCTGATGTGGAATTATCCTTTGCATAAATATTCTGTAAAATTATATTATTTACGATAGACGTAATTCGACCACTTGAAATAATATAATTCGACTTTGTGCAATAATTCTTGATGTAGAATTATTGAGATGAATTGCTTTAGCTTTGTATTGATAATTCCTGATGTGGAATTATTCTTTGTTTTGGACTTGAATTTAATTTTTTTACTAGGTGTATGTACCTTAGTGATTATATCCCAAGTCCCCTCTATAAGAAAAAATGCGCATCTTATATTCGCACTCGACCGAGCTTTTTCGTAGCGTATCATTTTATTTACAGCTGATCTCACGTAATTCTTGTTTTAATTTTGCCGTTCTGATTTTCTATTTCATATTTTGTGCGGTACTCAGCTTGTGCATTTAGCTTCTCTTTAGGCTTCTCTTACGGCGAATATTTTTGACCGTTCTTGTTTTCTTATGTTAACGCTGCTTTGTTTTGATTCTTACAAAACGTGTTTTAAAACTACATTCGGTCGGTGGTGGTTTTTATTTATTTTGTTTGTTTAATTAGATTTAATTTAATTTTAGATTTACGTGTGATGTTTCTATATGAAAATTGGAAAATTTTACTTCCAAACTGTATATGTTCCTAAATTCCAAGAATGTGCCAAAGTGGGCCTAAAAATTGATATCTTCAAGACCAAATCTATACGCATCAACCCTAACAATAATGCTTCATTTGATATAAATGGTATAGAGCTTGAAAATGTCACTCAATTTGAATAGAGTAGAGCTTTAATTGAGGTTTCTGCACGCCTTCGTGAAACCAAGGGAGCCTTCGTGGATCTTAAAAATTTTTGGAAATCACCCAGTATCCATCTTAAAACAAAAATAAAAATTTTCAACCCCTTCGTCGAATCTGTTGTGTTGTGGTTGTCTGCGTCAAATTCTAAGAATATAGTGCCCACGAACTATTAGCAATGAACGTCTCATAACACAAACTAACAACCAACAAGCAATTGATATGGAAATAATTTAGAGGATATGCGGATGAGAGAGGTAAACTCTTCGCAAGCCAAATACCGGAATTGTTCATGCTGAACTCGAGTGGAATCCGCAGGGAAGAAAAAGTCGCTGTCGGTAACATGGAGAACAACCATCAGTAAAGAAACGAGCAAATCATTTAGTGAGCTAACAGTAATAGCGAGCGATCGTAGTAAATGGAAATCTCTTACGATTAGACTAAGTTCATAAATGTTATTTCTAGAATAATAATTATAATAATAAAAGTGGATTGAGCCCCTGTTTTTCCCAATGTTTATCTAACGAAAAGGAAAATTATTGTTAAGTCATTCTCTTACATTCAGATTGCAATAAATAGGTGTGTTAGTACCTATTTTCATACTATTTTGTATTAAATGTGTGTGGTCCAACAAGTTTGTTACTGTGTGTATTGCACCATATATAACGTTTGAATCTTTTTTAAGAAGTTTTCTGCCTTTTAGATTTTGGACTTTTTAGTATTTTCCTGATGCAAATTATGGAATTCTTCTGTCAAGTGTATATTATTTTCGAGGTTAGGAGAATCAAAATTTGGTTCCAATAACTGTTTGACAAATTCGACGTAGAGGGAATTTGGATTTAAGAAAATTTAATGTGAGTTGGATTTCTTTCTGACACAGCTACTATATGTAGTTACTTGAAGCAGTACCAAAGAATATTTGCTTTGGTTATTCCAGTAAAATTAAAAGTGTGAATGCAAGTTGTTTTGTATCACAATCGTGTATATCATGGGATTTTCTCATAATAAACAATCTGACATGCAAGTTATACCAAATCGCAGATACTCCAGTCGATGGAAGACCAAATGATTACTGAGTTTAAGAAGTAGCAGCTCAAAAAGACTCCATAGCAATGACGATGCATATGAACTTAAATTGTTTAGTTCGTCGAATTGAACTAAATAAATTTCATCGCATGTACTTAAAAAAAACTGTTGTCATCACAACTTCAGTTAATCAGTTGATAATCCGTGTAAAGTTCATTGTGTCAACGGTTGTTTCAATTTGAGTTGTGCGGTGATGGGTCAGTGTTTTGTCGACAGTTATTAGGTATACGGCATTAAAACATTTCTGAACTAGTTACCAATTCTGAACCAATTCTTGCTTCTCCACAAAAAACTAAAATCACTTTATTTGTTAAAATGCATCTTAATTAAATATGACAAAGTAAATGAGCCGTACAGTGGTTGCACGATAAAATATAAATTCAGTTTCGGTGATTATAATTAATAATTGGTGTGAAGATATATGTTAGGACATGTTAGCTATATTTAATAGGATTCTCTACTAAAAGAAAT